ACGCTCCTGGGAGCAGGAGCCTGAGACTCCAAGGATTCCTGGGAGCCCCTCTTGCTCTGGATTGGATCCTTCCCCCAGAACTTGGCTCTGCCCTAGTATGAGCTATGCAGCCCCTGATTGGGGCAGGTCCCCCACCCTGGTGTCCCTTGGGGGTTGCTCTGTCCCCGTCCCCGGTGCCAGCCCCGCTCCCGGCGCTGGCCGTGGCATCTGGCATCTCCCCCTCTCCTCTCTGCTCATTCCGCCGTGTCGCTGGGAGTTGATTAGCTCTGCTAATTGCTTTACAAATAATGAGCTTCCCTAATTGCGCTGGCAGGGAGGAGGGGCTCTCCCCACCTGCCATCCTATGGTGCTGCCAGGCTCTGGGTCCCCTTGGCTCCTATGGGGTCTCCTGATGACTGTTGGCATCTGGGATTCTTGGAAGAACCCCCAAAATCCTGTGCCCGGGGAGCTGGGAGCTCCGGCTCATCCCTGGGGGGTCGGGCTGTCCCCCCCTGCTCTGTGAGCCCATGAATGCTCCAGGACTGGGGGGATGTTCCACGGGCTGCCTGTTCCCTGTCACCGCCTCACCGGCCTCCGGGATGGATCTCCAGGATGGATTTCCCACCCGGCACATTGCCTGGCAATCCGAGCATGGCAAGTTCAGCCAAGGATGAACCGTGGGATGGCACCACAAATGACCCGTCTCCCCTTCCCTCCTCTGCCTTCACGCTCCTGGGAGCAGGAGCCTGGGACCCCGAGGATTCCTGGGAGTCCTGCTTGTTCCGGATGGGATCCTTCCCCCAGCACCTGGCTCTGCCCCAGCACGAGCTGAACGGGGAAGGTCCCCCCACTCTGGGGTCCCTCAGGGGCTGCTGAATCCCCAAACAGCCCCTGATTGGGGCAGATCCCCCTTCCCGGGGTCCCTCGGGGACTGCTGAGTCCTCGGGGAGCCCCTGAACATGGAGCTCGCTTGCCATCCCCAGTCTCGGAGCTTTTCCAGCTGCTCCAGACGTGCCTGTGTCCATCGTCACCCGTGGGAAGGGGCTGGGGTGGGAGCAGGACCCCCGGATGGAGCACTGCGTGTTCCATCCCCCATGGGATCCTGCGCAGCGGATCCGAGCTGCTGCTTCCCTGGAAATGGACCTTAATGAGCCCCCACCCGGGGTAAGGGTGTTAATTTGATGGGAGAGCCGGAATTCTCTCGCCCTGTCGGGTGTTCAGAGCCACGTGGGGGTTGTTTTAGCAGGAGGGAGTTTCGGGGGGGCTCCGGCACCCGCCGCTCGCCGTCCCCCTTTTGAGACGTTCCGGCCTTCGTTTTAACCAAAAAGCTGATTTCTTGCCCCGGGTTCCCCAGCCTGTGAGAAAACCACACGTTCCCATCAAATTTGGGATTGAAATCCCCGTCTCCGTGCTCGGGGAGGGAGGTGAGCGGGTTCCCCCCTCCTGCAGCAGCTCTCTGAAGATGAAGCTCCGCGCATTGACTTTCTCACTAATAGAACAACTTCCTCGCCGCACACCTTTAATTAAATGAGATCCTTGGTTTTAATTAATTTTTGAATGGCTGATGACTCTCTCCAGGAGCCGGGGAGAGCCGCGACCGGCATTTCATTGAGTCTTGGAATCCCAGAATGGGTTGGATTGGCCTGGAAGGGACCTTCAGAACCCTCCAGTCCCACCCCGTGCCATGGGCAGGGACACCTCCCACTAGCCCAGGTCGCTCCAAGCCCCGTCCAACCTGACCTTGAATATTCCAGGTTTGGGGCAGCCACAGCTTCCAAGGTGGCTCAGAGGGCTGTTGCTTCAGTCGAGCTCTTGCCTTGAAAGATGGTTTAAACCCAGTGAAATCTTTCTCCGTGCCGGTAATTGCCGGTGTTTGCCGGTCGTGGAATTTCGTTAACATCCCGCTGTTCCATTGATTTCCAGCGTTTGTTTGCAGAACCTCCACCGTGTGTCCGAGTTCTTGAACGGCTTCCCAGAGCCATCAGCCAGCGCTCCCCCCGCGCTGTGAAATATCGTTTTATGGGCCACCGGAGCGGGATTTAACGGGGCTGACGGGGCGGGGCGGGGAGAGACGGATCGGGCACTTAAACGTTCCCATTATCCGCTCCTGGCACGGCCGGGCTTGTGCTGAGAATTCCCCAAGGCCTGGCATTTTGCAGCAGCAGCAGCAGCAGCAGCAGCACGGTGTGAGGGTTCAGCGCTGCCACCATGGCACATCCGGGGCTGGTGTGACCTTGGATCCTGGCACGGCACGGGGGTTGTGTTGTGTGGGCCGGTGGTCCCTGTTTTGGGGTGGTCCTGTTTTTGGGGTGATCTCCTTTTGGTGCAGTTCGGGGGTCCCTGTTTTGGGGTGGTCCTGTTTTTGGGGTGATCTCCTTTTGGTGCAGTTCCATCTGGCTGCAGACCCATAGGAGGCTCCGAGGCAGCTTTGGTGAGGACTCAGATCCTGCCCCTGCAGCGCATCCAGGACTGGCACGGTGGGACCGTGGATCCCAGCGTGGCATAGGAATGGCACTGGTGCTGGGGTGCCTGTGCTGGTGGTCCCTATTTTGGGGTGGTCCCATTTTTGGGTTGGGCTGCAGACCCATGAGATGCTCCAGTGCAGTTTTGGTGAGGGCTCAGCCCCCCTCTATGGCTCCTCCAGGACTTCACCTCTGGCACCGGAGCCCTGGCACTGCCGGGTGGTGCCGAGGCCACCCAGGGCTTTGCCATCCCCCTTCCCGCGCTCCGGCGGGACGGAATTAGGGATTTAACAGCCCGTGCCAGACAGACACTTAAATAAGCCATAAATTTGGAGTTCGTTAGTGAGGATTAATTAGTGTTTGCACAGGGCTTTGCCTCTCAGGGCAGCGCTCGGTGTCGCGGAGCTTCGCCGTGACCTTGGTGAGCGTGGGAGTGTCTCGGCACCCAGATCCTGTCAGATCCCAGCGTGGCCAGTGGAGGGAAGGGCCCAGGAGTCACCCTGAGAGTTCAGGGACCGGGAATGCTCTGGGAGCCCGAGGGCAGGAACTGGCAGTCCGGGGAGGGGGGCTGGCAGTCTGGGGAGGGGGGCTGGCAGTCTGGGAAGGGGGACTGGCAGTCTGGGAAAGGGGACTGGCAGTCTGGGAAGGGGGGCTGGTGTTGTGCTGCCCTGGGAAGGGGCAGAGTGGAGGCCGGTGGAGGCCGGGGATGCCGGGGCAGCTCCTCTGTGCTCATCTCTGCATCTGAGCTCCTGCTGTTCCAGGGGCTGGAGCAGCACCTGGGATGTGCTTTGGGAGCTGGGGGGGGGGCAGGGGGTGCCGAAGTGGGGAGCACCCGCGTGCCCAACGTGACAGGGCCGAGCCCATCCCGTGTCTCATCCCCTTGGCTTAGTTCTCCACCTGCACACAGTGATTTTTCCATGGAATGACAGCAGCAGGTTCCGTGGCGCAGCGCTGGGCTGTGGAATGAGGAGTCACTCATCCCGCTGCCCCGGATCCCCTGGAACCAGGGTGGCTCCGTGTGGCAGCGGCACAGCCCCGGGCGCACCCCGGGGGATGCCCCTGGTCCAGGGGGAGATGCTGCGGGAGGAGCGGGAAGCCCCCCCGGCAACCCCGCTGGGACCCCCCGGCACTGCAGGATTTATCACGTGGCTCGGCTCCAGCCCTGGCACGGGGCCGGGAATTGTGCTGGCACTGCCTGAATAACGGAGTCGCCTCCATCCCCGAGCGCCTCGCCGGGGAGCGGCAGTGCCAGAGCTTCCTGCTGGCCACCCACCAGCCATGCCATCCTCGTGTGCCCAGCCGGGGCTTGATCGTACTTGGGGCCAGGAAAAAGCTCTGTCCCTGCCGGCACAGCCGGCCCCGCAGCCTGGCTGCCCACCGCAGCTCTGTGCCGGCGCGTCCAGCCCGTCGTTGGGTGCCAGGAGGCTTTTCTGTGCCACAGGTGGTCCCCGGCGAGTGTAAAAGCTTCTGCTTCCAGGGGAAATCCCGTCTCTGCCGGTCGGGACCTGCCTGTGAAGGGGTTTCAGCCCTTGCACAGTGCAGGAGCCTCCTCTGGGATGGGGTGGGCGCAGGGTGTATGTCCCTGGGGATCCCCTTGTGGGATCCATCCCGTTCCATCGCTGGTGCTGGCAGGGCCGTGGGGATGGGGGCGGAGGAGGGAACGTCTCCAAGGAGCAGCCTGGGAATGAACGGCGTCAAGGACAATAAACTCTATCAAAGCCTCATTCATTAGGGAGGAGCCAAGTGCTGGCGTCTTTATCCACTCACTCCCTCTCCCATCAGACTCCACTCCTCCGTTTCCGGCTGCTTTTGCCTGTTCTCCCTCTTTTCCATGTTTTCCTCCCCAGCTTGGGGGCATCTTTGGGGGGCCATACCCAGGGCACCGTGCCAGCGAGAGGAGCCGTGCCAAGGGCCATCCTTCCCCGGCGTGGGCTGGGGAGCTCCCAGGGTTGGGTTGGGTCACCTTGGATCGAGTTGGGTCACCTTGGATCGGGTTGGGTTGGGTTGGTTTGTGTTGGAGTGGGTTGTGTTGGATTGAGTTGGGTTGACTTGGTTTGGGTTGTCTTGTGTGGTGTTGGGTTGTGTTGGGTTAAGTTGGGTTGGGTTGGGTTGGGGTGGGTTGGGTTGGGTCACGTTGGGTCGTGTTGTGTCGCTGTGGGTCACATGGGGTTGTGTTGAGCTACGTTGAGTTGAATTCCCGCTGCCATTTCTGTTGGAAAACTCCCCTTTTTTCTCAGCCTTTGCAGGGATTTGATCTCCATCGGACACCCCTGAGCAGGGGCTGGGGGTTTATCCTCCCTGACCACTCCCACCCCAAATTCCCCATCATCCCTTCTCCTTATGGAGCTGCCGCTTGGAGCAGCCCGACCTGGCACCACCAGGCTGCTGGCACGTCCTCCTGGGACATTTGGGTTATCCCAGGATCCCCCTCTGGAGTTGGGGAGCCCAACCCGGGGTGTGGGAGTGGGTGGGCACCTCTGGGAGAGGTGGGGGGAGCGATGCTGATCACAGGGGCGTTCAGGGGGGCTCCTCTGATCCCCCCTCTCTGCCCCCCTGCAGGACAAGAACCGGAAGCTGAGGCCCCTCTATGACATTCCCTACATGTTCGAGGCCCGGGAATTCCTGCGCAAGAAGCTCATCGGGAAGAAGGTACGGAGGGAGGGGATGAGGGAGGGGATGAGGGGACAAGAGAGGGGACGAGGGGATAAGAAAGGGGACGAGGCCGGTGGTGACTCCAGGGGTCCTCTCAAGGGTCAGGACCCGCCAGTGCTGGTGCTGCTGGTTTTGTGGGAATCCGTATGGACAACCCCGAGGCTCTTCACGGGGAATTCCGGGGTGCACCCAAATCTGGAGCACCCTTTGAAGGGTTGCAATCCCCCTTTCCCAGGAATGCCTCGTTGCTTCTCCCTTTGTTTCCCCGGCATATTTTTCCGGGCTGGTTTAGCTCAATTCAGGGAATGAGGCATGGATTAACTACCGGAGCCACGCTCCGGATGCAATTTCCCAGTGCTCATAAAATGGTCAAATAAAATCAATTCCCTCCATGGTGAGGCCGTCGCTGCTGCTCGGCCAGGGCTCCTTCGGTGCCTAATTGCATCTTTCCAGCTCGGAGCCCCGCCTGGGCTTTCTGAAAAAATACGGGAGGGGGAAAACAGCAGCTTGTGAGACCTTTTTCGTGGGAAATCTGGTGCTTCTCGGAGTTGAAAGAGGGTGTGGGGCTGTTGACGGGATTTGTGGTGGGAGCACTGGAGTCTGGAATGGAATTTCAGGTGGTTCTGGAGGGTCCTGGCACCTTGGTGTGCTCCCAGTCTGAGCCACCCCAGCGTTACTGGTGCCAGTTTTCCTCTGTCCACCGTCCCTGTGCTGTTGGAACAGGATTTGCTGTCCCCAGCTCTGTCACTGCCCCTGTCCCCAGAGTGGCTACTGGGGGGCCAGTGACCCCCCAAAACAGCAGCACCGAGCCCAGGGGTCCTTCAGCCTCGCCTTCTCTTGGCTCCCTGCCAGCACTAATCCTGGGGCAAAATCCCGCTTTTCCCACCCCAATCCTGCCCTGGCAGGGAGCTGCCAATGCCAGAGCATGGCTGCTGGCAGGGAGATCCAGTGGGTGGGCCTGGGATCCCTGGAAGCTCTGCCTATGGCACAGCTCCAGCACTTGGGGCCTTTGGAGGGTCACCTGGGGAGTCCTGAAACTCTGGGGAGTCCTGGGATTCCAGGGAGCTCTGGGATTCCAGGGAGTCCTGGGATTCTGGGGAGCCCAGCCTGCCCTGGATCCCTGGCTGTTCTGGGAAGCCCTGAGATTCCTGGGAGATTTGCCTGCCCTGGGTTCCTGCCCCATTCCAGGGAACCGATGGTATCCCCTGGGTCTGCAGTAGAAATAATCCCCTGCCATTGTTTCCCGAAATAATTCCCTCCAGAGGAAGCACCAAGGGGAGGATGAGGTGTTATATCCCTGTTGTGGCTGCAGTGTCCCCTTCTCCTTCTGTTTGTGCTGGGAGAAGAGCTGGGATGTGGGAAACCACCTCTGTGTTCCCTGTCCTTGGGAGGAGATGGAGTGTAATACACTTTCCCTCTCGCCCTTTCATCCAAGCAGAGGGAGGTTTCCAGGCTGGGATTTTTATGGCACCCAAAGAGAAGATCTGGGGTTTGTGGCTCTCGTGCCGGAGCCTCTCCTGGCTCCACCACGTCCTTCCCAGTGCTCTGGAATTTGCCCGGTGGCGCGGGATGAACCGGAGGCCGCGGCCCCCCCGCAGCAACCGCTGGCGTTGGGCTGCTATGGATTTGTGGAATAAATCTGTGGAGCGTGGCGGGAAGGGCCGGATCCTGCACACATCGATCGCTCTCCGCCGGGCAGCGGCTCCGGATAATTGCTGTGGTGCAGGAGATGGATCGGGGCTCTTCCCTAATTAACTGGGGGATTAATGGCTCGCATGGAGGGAGCCGGCACCGGAGAGCTCCGGGATAAATGGCCCCTGTGCATGGAAGTGATGCTGCCCTGTCCCTGTGAGCTGCTCTGTGTCCCATCCCTGTGTCCCATCCCTGTGTCCCATCCCTGTGTCTCATCCCTGTGTCCCATCCCTGTGTCCTCTCCCTGTGTCCCATCCCTGTGTCCCATCTCTGTGTCCTCTCCCTGTGTCCTCTCCCTGTGCCCCATTCCTGTGTCTCCTCCCTGTGTCTCCTCCCTGTGTCCCATCCCTGTGCCCCATTCCTGTGTCGATCCCTGTGTCCTTACCCCTGTGTCCCATCCCCATGCCCCATCCCCATCCCCGTGTTCCATCCCACGCCCCACCCTTGTGTCACATCCCCATTTCCCATCCCTATCCCTTCCCTCTCGGGAAGGCTGTTTCCAACTGGGAATGCCGCTCACCCACAGTGCCACGAGCCCGGAACCAGCTCTGGCAGACCTGGAAAGCAGCAGCCGGGGGTTTCCTGGCAGTTCTCCCGTGCATCCACCTGTGTCTGTTCCCCTCCGAGGTGCCAGGATGCTTCCTGGGATGCTTCCAGGAATGCTCCTTTTGGGGTTACCAATAGCAGCACTCTCAGCCCTGCGAGAGCTCAGACCTGGGAAAAGCCAAGGGATGCGTTGGACCGGGGAAAACATTCCCAGAGGAGCAGGGAAGACTTTGGCTGATTTTTGGAATGATGGGACAATTTTTCCTGCGTGTTCCTGGAGCTTGGGAGCTCTGGGAGAGCCTGGCACGGCATGGCCGCTCCAGAGGGGTTTTTGGGAGGATCCCACTTTCTGGTGCGGCCGGGGATGGGGACAGAGGGGATTCATCCCTGGGGAAGCTGCGCCGTGCCGGGAGCCGGGATCCTGTGCCTTGGAATGTGCCGGTGCCGGGGTGGCTTTGCAGGGCTCCGGCTCTGGAGCGTCACGGGAACGGGCTGCGTCATCCGCGGCTTCCACGGGTGGAACTGGGGAGGATTTGGCTGTTGGGGAGGATTTGGCTGCTCGGAGCCCAACTGGGAGAGATGTTTTCCCGCCTGTGCTGTGCTTGGAATAAGCGGCGCGTGCGGCTGCAGCGGAGCAGGGGGGGAGCTGCAGTGGGCTGGGCTGGCTCCCTGACAGCAGGGGAGGGGGAAGAGGCAAATGGGATCGTTCCCGGTGTAATGATCCGAAATTCAGGGATATTTCCTCTCCCTGCACCTCTCTCCCTGCTTCCGACGCTTCCCAGCCCGGCACTTCCACGGTTACCCCGCCCCAGCGAGGTCGATCCTGCCCCGGGGCTCAGCTCGGGGGCTCCGTGGCCCCTCCGGCTGCTCCTGGAGCCGGAGGCAGGAGTGATCTCGGAGCTCCGGGATCCGCCGACTCCGCTCCCGGCGATGCTGGAGGCGCGGGGGGCTCCGTGGGGGCTGTGGTGGAGCATCCCCGCACCACAGCCCGGCCTGTTCCGGGAGGGATGACGGGAGGATGCAGAGCTGCAGGGGGTTAGGGGAGAGCTCGGGGGCCGGCTCCTG